TTTTTGATCACATAACAAAATAAATACTTTATGCACAATTAAAGTGCCTTAGATTGAAGACGAGATTTAGACATATCACAATGTACTTCCTTATGTTCCATTTAGCTTTATCGAAACAATAATCAAAAGATATATTATTTCATCAAATGTCCTTAGTGGAACTTTCTACATTATCCATCAACCTTATATCCCAATAATAACCTAATATTGTTCTATAAGCATATAAAACTTATAGAAAAATATATAATGACAAATGACTTAAGGTAAGCAGATGAAGAAAATTTCGAACAATACCAAAATACTCACATAAATTTATGTCATACATAAATATGGGTAAATAGACCAAATAGGGACACATGGCAAGACACACATAGTGCAACATTAATATCGTCTATGGACAGAAAATTAACTGCAATAGTAATCTTGTTGTAATGATCAAGCATTGATAATAAGTTCTGTCAAACAAAAGTCTATCTTTGGACTGACTAATGCTCACATGAACAATCCAAATAATTATCATATACTTATCATTACATGTGTATTATTGTTTTGCCAAATTGTGTCTACCTATGGGCTGATCACAAAACGCATAAATAATTCCACACGACATCTATGTAATTTCAATAAAGTCGCTCTCCACACACAGAGGTTGCTATGGCAACATGATGTTTTGATTGACTAAATTGAAAATTACTAGACCAATTGAGTAAAGCCATATGAGTTTTTCTTATCACCATATGCGCGTTATTATTCTGTCAACCTGTGTCTACCTATGGGCCGAGCACAGATCACATGAACAACTTCACACAACATTAAAATGATTTCAATAAAGTCATTCTCTGTGCACAGAGGTTGCTATGGCAACATGATACTTTGATTGACTAAATTGAAAATCACATCATAGAAAAAGTGACCGAGAATTTCTCTATTACTCAATTGAACAACGTTAAATCGTCGCCCCAGGAAAACTTTGGATATAAAGTTCATGAACTAAAATAAATTTAATTCCAACTTTATTTAGATTGAAAGCCCTTTTAACCAATTAGGCTTAAAATCTAATTTCAATAAACTTAAATCCAAATAAACTTTCTTTTGAATTTACGGCCCACTATTATCAAATTGGGCTAAAATTCAATCAATTAGTCATAAAATACCTATCCAAAATGAGCTCAAGCATATAAAAACTCAACATGACATTATTTTGGAATTTAAGCCTAAACCAAATCAAACACATAAGTCATGGAAATGCTTAATATGTTTCTCATAATTGACTCAAAGAATCCTCATGGATTATATGTGAAGATTTTCAATATAAATCCTATCCTTATGGGATACTTAGCCCCTTATCCCGGAAACACAATATGAGTATATCACAAAGTCAAACTCAAACTCTTACCTTATAAATATTTTGAGATACCAAGAAAAAGATAATCTCAAAATTTAACTTTAATTTGAGCCAAAATATGAAACTTCATATGAACTTGTGTTCATTATCTTTATTTGAGTTTAAAGTCTATAAAACCAAATTAAACTTTAAATCCAATTTTATATAGCCGAAGCCTAGTACGTCTAAATCAGGCTTAGCTTTATCTCATTGCAAGTTACGTTCACAAAACATAGAACCAAGTTCAAATATTTAGATTTTAAGCTAGAAACAAATTTTGTTAATTTGAGCCAAACTAGACGAAAACCAAATGTCAACCTAAGCTCAAATACACCCACAATTTAGCCTCAAATCAAATATAACAAAACAAGACAAAATTAAGATCCACTATTTTATTTCATCTTCTTTAGTGAAAGACCATAAAACTTTGCTCCTTATGTTGATTTAAAAACCTCATAAACAAAAAATAATTTTAAATCAACCTTTAAATGGATAACTCCATAGATTTCGAAAACATACAAGTAACAATATCAATGTTTACGCTCACAAAATTACTTAGAATTAACATAATAATTCTAACAGCTTTAGCAATTGATGTTCTTAAAGGCCACTTTTGTCAACAAATAAATCCAAATGGATTTATCATAAAAATACTTCTAAATACCATATGTTTTCAGAAAACTAATAAATTATGCACTGAATCCAATTATCATTCATGTTGTTACCAAGATTGAAAATAAAACATGCCTCTAAATGCAAAACTGAATATGCCCATTATCACGAATCCAAATACCACAAATATTGATTGAATCATCACTAACAAATTTCCATGGTAACAAAGTATGAATAATTATCCGATGTATCACATATTAATATATCAATACCCAATATTAATATATCAATACCCAAATCAATACCGCAACAGTAGAACCAATATTTCAAAGTGATAAGTAATGGGCGAAACTTAATTTCTGCATATGATCGATATAAATTGATCCCCAAAATTCTATATGAAGAGGCTCTGATACCACTTGTGGTAAATAGCTTTATGCGAAAACCATCGCTATATCCCAGGAGTTTTCATATCAAATAATCGAGAAATAAACTAGATAGCGGAAGCGTACCTTAGGTGGATTTGTGGATTTGATCACCATGGAACATGACTTGGATCACGAACACATCCTCAATCACGAACGGTGTTGGTTTTATGGTCTTCCTCAACTAAATCGCCTTATTCCTCATATGGGACCGTCGTTCTCGATTCCGATGGGGAGAAAAGAGAGCTATGTTTGATTTAGTATGTTGGGGACCATAACCAAGAGGGTCTATATATACTAATAGGGTAGGCCACCCATTATCACCTAACCCTAGTAATATGAGGTATCCACTCATTAAGTCCATATCAATTTATGTAGCCCATGATCTCTACTTAATTTAGATCACTTAATTGAGTCCATTAATTAATTGAATAGCTAATATAATATAATTGTATATAATATGTTGCCCATAATTAGATTATACATAGGAAATAAAATATTTCCTAACAAAAAAATGTTCAACTCATCGACTATAAGGACGTCGGTTCTTGGTTAGCGATGCCGGTTCTTAGCCCACTCTATCCGACATGAGGTTACTTGAAACCTGTGAGCTCAAGATCTTCAAGGTAGTGTAGCCAGATGTCATTAATCCTCGAATGCTTTGTGCTAATAATCATTGATCATTTGGTTTAACAAAAACCATGTCAACATCTCGGATGTCTTGAAGTACTAATAGAACGACATCTGGTTACTAACCACACAATCCGTGGTTAGAAACATAAACAAAAAATAACAATTAAAGAAAAAGGATGCACTATAAAAATTTAAATTAATAAACAGAACAACGACTGCAACCACAACATATATGTCGGAGATTAAAACCATTACCTATTGACTGCTTACTTCGAATTTATGAACGATTCTGGGACTACCTCTATTTTCAACCGGCAACTGATCAGGTGCAGATGTACCAACAAATTCTTTAACATGAATATTATAGCATAAACAGTATAAATTACCAAAAAACGAAGCAATAACAAACAAATCCACAATATATGTTTGTCTATAGAAGTTATAAACTTATACCCAATAAATCCGGCTATGTAACTCTGAACCATGAATAGCATTATTAATATTCTATCATTCTCAAGGCTTTAACACAATGAATCTATATATTTATTAAATGAAATTATATCATAGAAGGCAAATATTATACCATATTACCTTTGTAGCAAAACAAACAACAAAGCTAATAAGGAAAGTGAACTATTTGAATTTAACAAAACCCATTTAACATTAGTAAAACCTAATCTCAGAAACATGTAGTAATATATCGATCTAATACGTAGTCGTAAAAATAGGTAAATTTATTGAAAGGAAAAATTGCACCATTGGTCCACTAACTTTCACCTAGTTGCACTTTCGTCCTTTATTTGTTTCCAGTTTATAAATGGTACACTAACTTTTTTTTTTGGCAGCGTTGGTCC